ATCGCTCAGTGGAGCTCAGTAAGGAAGGAGCAGACAGAGAGATAGCAGATGGTGTTCAGGTCTTCACCGCTCTGAAGGAGTCTGTTGAGAGAAGCCAGGCCGAGCTCATCGACACGATCAAAGAGAAGCAGAGAGAGACAGAGGAACAGGCTGAAGGCTTCATCAAAGAGCTGGAACAGGAAATCTCTGAGCTGAAGAAGAGAAGCTCTGAGGTGGAGCAGCTCTCACGCTCTGAAGACCAGCTCCACCTCCTCCAAAGCTTCACGTCCCTGAACGCTGCTCCACCCACCAAGAACTGGACAGAAGTCAGGGTCCGTCCTTCATATGAGGGGTCTGTGAGGAGAGCTGTGACTCAGCTGGAGGAGACGCTCAGTAAACAGATGAAGAAGCTGCTCTCTGAGGTGGAGCTGAAGAGGGTCCAGCAGTATGAGGTGGAGGTGACTCTTGATCCTGATACAGCACATCCCTATCTCATCCTGTCTGATGATGGAAAACAAGTCAACTTTGGTGATGTGAAGAAGAATCTCCCAAACAATCCAGAGAGATTTAATAATAGTGCTAATGTCTTAGCAAAGCAGAGTTTCTCTTCAGGAAGATTTTATTGTGAGGTTCAGGTTAAAGGGAAGACTAAATGGGATTTAGGAGTGGCCAGAGAGTCGATCAAGAGGAAGGGAGAGATCACACTGTCTCCTCAGAATGGTTACTGGACGATATGGTTGAGGAATGAAAATGAGTACAAAGCTTGTGTTGTTCCTGGAGTCTGTTTCTCTCTGAAGTCTCAGCCTGAGAAGGTGGGGGTGTTTGTGGATTATGAGGAGGGTCTGGTCTCCTTTTATGATGTTGATGTTGCAGCTCTGATCTACTCCTTCACTGGCTGCTGCTTCAAAGAGAAACTCTACCCATTCTTTAGTCCTTGTGACAACGATGGTGGTAAAAACTCTGCCCCTCTGATCATCTACACTGAGTAGAACAAACATTTGATTTTCTACAGAAAGAGACACTAAATGTATTCAACGGGGAAAGTACATTGTAATCATTGTTATTTTTTCAGAATCTGATCAGAGATGTTTTACCTTGATGATACAAATAAACACCTAAAACACTAATGAGTATGTTCTAATGTAATCTACTTCGTTCTACGGATTGCATTACCTCTTTCAATCTCTGGGTTAAAGTTGTGTGTTCAAAAAGTGTTTCATACTAGCTTACATAACTAGTGGAAGTAATGCATTCCTTTTTCATTAGTAAAATATTGTATATATACATTTTTTTATTAAATAATTTTAAGTTGAGGGAAAAATGATGGGTCTCTGACATGTTTTAAAGGGTAGATTCAGGATTCATGCTTTAATTACAGTATATTGGTACAAAATGTATTGACAGTTACTGCGAGAATCAACAATATCTGATCATAAAACATTAGGCTGCAGTGGTTTAAGAAATGAGGGAAATGAAAATGTTACATCTCAGCTGTCTGTTGTGTGATTGTCCATCTCTGCACACTGCTTGTATAGTTTGAATGAAGTCGACAAAGAGCCAATGGATTTAAAAGAAAGAAAGAAGAATTTTTTTTGTCTTTTTTACAAATGTTTTTACTGAAGAACAGTTCTCACTGGTTCTCAACTTAAGTAATGTAGCTTAAAGGGGACCTATCATGCAAAATGCACTTTTGTACGTCTTTTATACATGAATATGTGTCCCCGGTGTTCCAGGGAACTCACCAAGTGTCAGAAAACACAACCCTCTCTATTTTCCTCCATACCCAAATCTCTAAAAAAGGGGCTGCAACGGATCTGATCAAAACTGATCCAGATTTGAACACTGTCCTGACGTCAGGACGGTGGCGCTACGGCTATTGGGCCAACTCCACCAATCAGGAGGAGACAGCCACGGCCATTGCCGTTCGAAAGCGCTGGAGACGCTGTAGAACATATGCCAGGCCTGTAGGTGGTGCTGTTCTCACAGAATCTGCCCTTGCAAAAACAGAGCTAACATTTTTCAAATTGAGCGAAATGAGGCATGGCTAAAATGCATGATCTGTTTGGTATTTTGAAAAAAGAAAAGTATAAATATGCCTTATATAGGTATGGTCCTACACTATATTATTCAAATATAGCATGATAGGTCCACTTTAAAAAAATGTACTTGACTATTTCCATTTGTATATTTCTACCTCACTACATTTGTCTAAGTGTCTGATGGCTGCAGCCTGTGTCAGTGTGAGCGGTCCGACTGGTTGGACTGCTTGTAATGATTATTATCTCATTCTTCACCTTGAACACACTCCAGCACTGCCTGTACAGGTGAGACTAACTGACTGCAAACGTCCCGCCTGATTGGGAGATAAATAAAGGGTTTTTTAAATATCAAAATTGCATGAAATGTACTTGTAAAGTCTATTTTAATAATGCTTTGTTTATATGCTGGCGCTAATAATTTGAAATGCACAGTCATTATTTTTAAAGAGGTGGATGGTGAATAATATTACAATAAAAAATGTTCACTTACATCATGACTTTGTTTTTTATTACAGTACAGGTTTTCTGAAATGTTGTGTTTGAATATGTGCTCACTTATACAGAAACAGCACAGAAATGTGTACACTGGTTAAAACCAGGATCAAATTCTTGTTTAATTGTCGACTTATTAGAGTCAAAGGTTTTTACAAAGGTGAGTTTTGATATGGGTTTGCACCACTACATAAATACAAAGAAACTGTCAGCAGCCTTTAATTATAAAATATTCTGCATGTTTTTTAGGGATATAAATCTTATAATCCTTAACGCAATCATGAATAATCAGTCTATAAATATGGCTATTGATGATATATGAAAAACCACAAAACATTTTGCAGTCCACAGGAAAATAGGTTTAAAAAAAAAAGTAACCAATATGACTGTTATTGGATTCCCATTCAATCTGGCCTTATCTAATAATAATTTAGTTAGGAATCAAATAAACCAGAACTTTCAAAACTGTCAACCATTGGTGACATACCTTCATCGTTTAGCGACATAATGCTTGAATAGCACGTTTTGTAGGCAGTTGGCTCAAGGAATAAGAGGTTAAAACTTGGCCAGTGTCTGCAAAGACTCAAGACAACCTGTCTGCACAGAGCAAACAAAAATATGCTATGAGACAGTGAACAAATGTGCAATCTCATAGTGCGTCCCCACACACAGAAATATGTCTATGAATACAGTTGTACTGTGTGAATGAGGTCAAATGACATGTTATATTTCAATGTGTGTTCATTGAATTATAGTGGTAGAAGTGTTTCAGTTGGTTTCTGTGCTGAATGCGAAATTGATTGACTTAAAGGGCCCATGTCATGCTTTTCCGGTTATTAACCATCCCCTTGTGTGTGTGTCAGAAAATACCTCCCCAAAACGCCTCGTTGGAGATACGTCACTGTCCATTTGATTCTTCCATTTCGTTCCGGGTACGGCATGATGTCAAGCCGTACCCGGAACGAAATGGACCAATCCGCAGAGCCGTTACGTTAAGCCCCCGCTGATTGGTCCAAATTGACCAATCCACGGACTTCCTCACACACACATCTGTGTGCAGGGAGCAGCTCAGCTGATTTCTCCTCCCTGGCTGCAGGCTGATAACAGACAGTTGGGATCGCGGCGAAATTCTCCCTGCAGACCCATTCTCACAGCGTTTATCAACCTTTTTCTTACTCAATATCAAGCCACACTTATTGTTTTTACTTCAGCTGTGACTTTGTGTGTGCTCAGGATGAGTTTGGCTGTGTTTCGCTGTCGCTAAGGAAACCACACCTCCACGGAGCTCAGCGCGATTCACAACGTCCCGACCAATCAGAGCACACTGTGCTCACAGGGAGGGTGGGGGCTGGAGCTATTGGAGCTACAACGAGCTGTTAAAGGCAGAGAGTGAAATTCAGTGAATACACGTAGTTTACAGAGATGCTGTATGAGAAACCAATGTGAGTTTGGAACATTGCACAATATAAATCTATTCTAGTAGACCTCAACAATGAAATTATGATCAGTGGAAATGGCCATGACATGGGCCCTTTAAAAACTGAGTATTTGCACTTTTGAGAGATTCGAAGGACTGTTGATAGATGGCCTACTGACTTTGACCTTTAAAAAACAAGAGCACAAAAAGACTAACTGATATTTAACTGTCTGACTGACTGAGTGCAAGTAGTGGAAAAAGTATTATAATGCTTTTGGGGATTTTGCCTTCCCTATAGTGTGGTATATAGTTTTTAGTGCATGTAAATGGTCTGCAAAGGCTAAAATCCCCTGGAGTTTCTCTCTACTTTGTGTGTTAGTGTACCTGAGTGTCACTCTGCTGCTCCGACTCTCTGGCGGAGACTCGAGGTCTGTTCACGACCTCCTCGGTACTCTCTGTGTCGGAGGTGTTGGGAGAATCAGATCCAGGAACTCGTCCGGTCTCTGGCCCCGGAAACGGATCCTTTCCAGATGTTTCCGCATGGTGGGCGCCGTTTAGCCGGTCATTCTCTACCTAAACATGACTGCCGGCAGCACTGCAGACACTGAAGGAGGACAGGAACACATCATTATTAATGTTCCTAGGATACATTTTGATATATAATTTGCAACATAAATATACATTTGATTTAACTACATATCAAAGAATACAACTGAACAGAATCAACATCAGTTAATCTGACACACGTTAGAGCTGTAGCTCATTAACATCAAAATCCAAAACCCCAAAACTACAGGTGAATACAAATGAATCTGATTCTAATATAAACTAAAGACTGACATGAATGTGAGTCAACAATCACGTGTCAGTTCTCTCCAATAAAAACCCTTATCAAACAGTCTGTTCAGGGAGGAGGAAGTGTTTCACCAGCTGCTCTTAAACAGGGATCATAACACACAGCCTGTAAAACAGTTGTGAAATAAAGCGGAAGGAGGAAATGCATTGAGAAAATATTCCTACTTGTGCTCAATACACTATTTGAAAAGCCTCTTGGATCAGTTGCAAAATGCATCGTCACAAAGTTAAATAACAAGCCTTAACAGTTCTTCCACCACTCCCTCTTGGCAAACTGCCACTGAGAGGTGGGACCACACTGTAAGACAAGAGTTTCAATTTCCCAGAAATCAAAGCTGAAGATTGTCAGAGCGACAACAGAGCAGCAGTGTCTCTGTTTCTCTGAAGAAACACTCAACTCAGAAGCTCTTTTCAACACAGCAGGATCTCTGCAAACTCTGGTGAGTGCACTACAGACACATCACTCACTAAATATCTAGTCAAAGTTGGATTAAAATCTGAATCTTATAAGTATAAACAATATTATACTATAGAAATGTGTCAGTTAAGATAATAGCAACAGCCAAAAATACAATGTAAACTCTGGGTAAGGAAGGTTAGACAGAATACAGCCAAAGCTAGCATTAGCTTGTACTTATTTTCATATTTCCTGTATTTGAAAACATCTTTATAAATGACTGTATTAAACAAAGTAGTATCTAAGTATTAGATTTGTTCTGGACTGTCCAAAGCAAGGTATCTGGTGCTACTGTATGTTACAAGTTTTTGGAATTGCTTGACATTTACATATTTCTTCTTATATAATTGTAACACACTGTGGTGAGCAGCCTTGAGCTTTGAACCCTTCTTTCTCAGCCGCACTGTTTCTGTAGTAACTGCTCTCGGCCTTTATACAGCTGATAACGTTTACTGTTTTTTAACAACAACTTCAGTGATGCTCAGCAAGGAGGTTTCACTCCTCTGTTCAACAATGGCAAAATCCCCCAAAATGAATAGAGCTTACACATTGTGATTTTTAGAGTTTAAAGGGCCCATGTCATGGCCATTTCCACTGATCATAATTACATTGTTGAGGTATACTAAAATAGATTTATACTGTGCAATTTTCCAAACTCGCATTGGTTTCGCATACAGCATCTCTGTCAAGTATGTGTATTCAGCAGTATTCACTCTCTCCACTAAACGACTCGTTGGAGCTCTTGCCCCCCCCCCTCCCTGTGAGCCTAGTGTGCTCCGATTGCTCAGCTCGGCCACTCTGTTCTGATTAGTCAACCACCAGAGAGGCTCCGCCCATGTCTAACAGTGCTTTTTTCAGCTCGCTCTCGGAACATCAGTCTTATAATGGCGTCAGTACAGCCGTATATTTTATATGCTAACTAACCGAACTGTACCTACAACTGTTGTTATAGAAGAGTAAGTTATTTTTACCTGTAATAAACTACTACTGTTTGATGAGAAATCAAATCATGGTTTGCTATATATGAATGATATGTTATAGGAGCAAATAATTCAGGGAAGAAAGGATAGGCCTACTAAGTATTTCCATCAAACTTTATTTTTAGAAATGTACAAAATGAACATAAATATACATATATACACGGTATATCATCCATTCCTCCCCGTTGTCGGCATCTTGCCTGGGCGCAGCCGGGGCTTTTTAGGACGAGGCATCAGTGTGGTAGTCCCGTCCCCGTCATGTATTTTCTGCCAGGATCTGGCTGGACGAAATCAAATGCAAATCACAAAATATTAGAGAAACTTAGTTGTTTTAGATTCGTTAGTAGTAGTTGTGGTAGGAGTGTGGATCTATCTAATCCATCTATCTAATAAACACAGTAAGCTTGCCAGCTAATATGCTAACCTAGCTTTCTTGTTTACCTTGTTAGCAAACACGATATGAACGTTAGCTCGGAGGTACGGCAACTATAATGGAGTGTAATACAACTACTATGAACAAAAGCTAGTGGTTCATATTAGGCTAGCAATAACGTGTTTATAATTGCAATCTTATACGGGTAGTCTGCTACGTTCGGTCATACATTGTAACTGGCATGAATACGATGTTTCCCGTTAGCATGTATAGCTAGCCTCGTTAGCTATACATGCTATCAGCGTCGGAGGAAAGCCAACTGTAATGTACCGTCCTTTGGGGGTCTGTGAGCGGGCAAAGAGAGGGGATTTCCCCATTGTCTCGGCTGGAAGTGTGAAATAAACAGAGTCCCCATTTCAGGGACACCTGTTGGAGGTCTCTAGGCCGTCCTTTGGGGGTCTGTGAGCGGGCAAAGAGAGGGGATTTCCCCGTTGTCTCTGCTGGAAGTGTGAAATAAACTTAGTTGTTTGATGTTCGTCAGCTTGCCAGCTGGATTACAATGCTAATCTACGTTTGCTAGTTGTTCAGTTGTTCAATATGCTATACTATACTATGAACAACAGATAGTGGTTCATATTAGGCTATCAAGCACATGTTTACAATTGCAATCTTATATGGGTAGTCTGCTACATTAATTGTAGCTGGCATAAAAACAATGTTTTTCCGAGCAAACTCAGGTCTAGCTCTTAGTAGCCTTGTTGTTTAGCTAGGTAGCATACACGCTCGGAACGCCAGCTATAATGTAATTACGTTTCGCGACTGACTGTACGGTAAATCACCTGGAGTATACTGTCTATGAGTATTTCGTGTGTGAATGCCAGAGGTGGGGACTCGAGTCACATGACTTGACTCGAGTCAGACTCGAGTCCCATATTTTTTGACTTGAGACTTGCTTGACTAACATTGATAAAAGACTTGACTTGACTTTGACTTGGTATTCATGACTTGAGACTTGACTTAAGCTTGAGACAGATGACTTGAAAGGACTTGTCTGTTTAAAATTAAATATTTGCGTTCGTTTTTGTAGTGAGATATTACGTTTAGTTTTTTCGAAAAACGTGATTGGGTGATTTTAGCGCCGTGCGCGCAAACCTGGCAACCCACTAGACGGCAGGAGTGTCAGTTAACATGGCAGCGGCTAGCGTTACTCCAAAAATAGTGAAGTTTGGATTCAAGGATTATGTTGTTGATGACACTAATAAGAAGAGAACAGCGGTATGCAGGGTCTGCAGCATAAAGATCAGTGACACGACCACCACAACATCCAACTTCATTCGTCACTACAAAAAACCCCACAGAGAAAGGTGCGTGAATGTGTTGTGTTAGCTAGAAAGCTAACGTTAAGTTTAAGCTACGTTAGACTTGGTTTCAAATCGATTAAGCATTGCAAAGAGAAGACAAAACGGTAAATGAACACTAGAACCTCCAAGGGATTCATTTTTACTAACCCTGATACTGACGGGCCGTCAGGAGAGGGAGAGAGAGAGAGGAAAAGAGATGCCTCGTTTATTTCCCCTGTGTTATTATCAGAAGTTACTGTAAACTGTTGAATAATGTAGTTCATCTACTTTTAGTAGTTTGTTTATATGTTTTAATGATGTTGTTTTTGTTTGTAGAAGTGCATCATTCCTTGATTTATTGTAAAAATGAATCTGAACTTTTTAATCTGTTATGATGATAAACTGAAGCCATTTCTAAATTAACCCAATTAACTGAGTTTTAAATCGTCCTACTTAGTTTATAAGGAAATTATGAAGAGGAACAAATTCAATGATTTGAAAATGATATCTCTGTAGGTGCTGACGCTGTTGGCGGTTCTAGTGTTAACAGACATTTAAATTAAATATGTGTAATGGCAAATGCCATATATGATTTTCTTACCTGGAATTCTGCCTTTTTTAACAGACTGATTGAGTCCTAGCTATATTGTCTGCAGTTCTAGGGTTAATATGAATCTAATATGATTGTCATCGGTCTAAATTAGATTTCAAATGATTAACTGTGTATGTAATGAAGATCATAGTGTGGGTTGAATCCATTTTCATAACCACTGTCTTTTCACTGATTTAAATGCGGAAACTGGGCTTATTCATCAGAATCTTGTATGACTTGACTTGACTTGCTTGACCTGAGCAATGACTTGACTTGACTTGCTTGACTCTCACCACAGTGACTTGGGACTTGCTTGATACTTGTAGGTCAAGACTTGAGACTTGCTCATGACTTGCACATGTAGGACTTACTCCCACCTCTGGTGAATGCAGACATTCTCCTGCTATGAGATACATGTATGTAAGGCCATCTGCTGATATTAGAGTTGATATGGAAACGCTAGCAACTTAGTTAGCACAGTTAGCACTGGCTTAGCAGTCCGAAACATGTTTACACATTTAAACAGTCGTGGTAGATACCTTGTTTGATAAATACACAAATAACAATGCAAACTTACAGGTTGTGTACCCGAATCTTCCCCTGCTCCAAACGGTCCAAACAAACTAGGAATAGCATCATCCTTCAGTTTCAAATGCTGTGCATATCCGGCCTCAAACTGGGCAATGTTTTGGAAGCTTTCGTCTGTGAAATGCAGCGCACACAGTAACGTTCTTCGAACCTCTGAAGGAACAGTGTTAAAAAGACATTTCAACCACTGACTTCGTCGTGGTTCTTCCGTCGGTAGGACAAACAGCTCAGATTTCCCCTCACATTTCAGGAAACAGGTCCTTGGCATTGGCATGACTGGATCGATTGTGAACTGAACCAGAGCTTCCAACAGTAAATGTTAGGCTGGCAGAGGGTGCGGCCAGCGCCGCTGGGTGTGGCCATAGCTCTTCGGGATTGGTCCATTTCGTTCCGGGTACCGCATGACATCATGCGGTACCCGGAACTAAATGGAAGACTCAAATGGGCAGTGACGTATCTCCAACGAGGCGTTTTGGGGAGATATTTTCTGTGTTAGAGTTTTACTCGCTACAGGGTGTACTTTGAGGGTTTTGACTCTGCACACCGTTTACATGCATAAAAACGTTCATAACACACAAGGGGACGGGTAATAACCGGAAAAGCATGACATGGGTCCTTTAAACAAAATGCTGCCATGATTTTTTTGATTATATTTATAATATTCTTGCAAACAAAAAAACAAAATGTTTTTGGTTGTTTGGTCTATGTTGTCATTTTCCTCACAGAAATACACCATCTGAACTGCACATTTGAGCCATCTTTAACCCCCTGGTAGATAATGCTGATTCATGCTAATAACATAACTTGTGCTAATTGTGCAAATTGCCCGAAGAGTTAGCATCCTGCGCTGGGGACCTTTACTATACATTTCTAACATAAAACGTTGGGGTTGTTAACATTTTCGCCTTCGTAATAGGACTCAAATAGCATGGCAAATAGACAATATGCAATTAAGTTGTGTTTCTTCACACGTGTTGTCCTCAGAGTGTAAACATGTCTGCTGCCAGCTGTCTGCTGACTGAAGATCAGTTTCTGTGCTCCTTCTGTCTGGATGTGTTCACTGATCCAGTCGCCATACCATGTGGACACAACTTCTGTAAAGCCTGCATCTCTGAACACTGGGATAGAAATGTCCCGAGTCAGTGTCCCAACTGCAAAGAGGTTTTCAACATAAAGCCTGAGCTGCAGGTCAACACTTTCATCTCTGAGATGGCTGCTCAGTTCAGACAGTCAGCTCAACAGAAAGCCAGCAGCAGCAGCTCAGAGCAACAAGTCTTCAAACCAGGAGAAGTTCCCTGTGACGCCTGCACTGGAACCAGACTGAAGGCCCTGAAGTCCTGCATGGTGTGTCTGGAGTCCTACTGTGAGACTCACCTGGAGCCTCACCTGACAAGGCCAGGCCTGAAGAAACATCAACTGATCGACCCTGAGGAGAACCTGGAAGGCAGGATGTGTGTGAAGCACGATAAACTGCTGGAGCTGTTCTGTAAGACCGACCAGGTGTGTGTCTGCATGCTCTGCACTGTTTCAGACCACAAGACACATGATGTTGTTCCTCTGAAAGAAGAATATGAAGGAAAGAAGGCTGAGCTGGGGAAGACAGAGGCTGAAATTCAGCAGATGATCCAGAAGAGACGACTGAAGATTCAGGAGATGAATCGCTCAGTGGAGCTCAGTAAGGAAGGAGCAGACAGAGAGATAGCAGATGGTGTTCAGGTCTTCACCGCTCTGAAGGAGTCTGTTGAGAGAAGCCAGGCCGAGCACAACGACACGATCAAAGAGAAGCAGAGAGAGACAGAGGAACAGGCTGAAGGCTTCATCAAAGAGCTGGAACAGGAAATCTCTGAGCTGAAGAAGAGAAGCTCTGAGGTGGAGCAGCTCTCACGCTCTGAAGACCAGTTCCACATCCTCCAAAGCTTCACGTCCCTGAGCGCTGCTCCACCCACCAAGAACTGGACAGAAGTCAGGGTCCATCCTTCATATGAGGGGACTGTGGTGAGAGCTGTGACTCAGCTGGAGGAGACGCTCAGTAAACAGATGAAGAAGCTGCTTGAGGTGGAGCTGAAGAGGGTCCAGCAGTATGAGGTGGAGGTGACTCTTGATCCTGATACAGCATATCCCGGACTCATCCTTTCTGATGATGGAAAACAAGTTAAACATGTTGATGTGAGGAAGAATCTCCCAAACAATCCAGAGAGATTTTACACTCGTGTGGGTGTTTTAGCAAATCAGAGTTTCTCTTCAGGAAGATTTTATTGCGAGGTTCAGGTTAAAGGGAAGACTGAGTGGACTCTAGGAGTAGTCAGAGAGTCGATCAACAGGAAGGGAAACTTCCAACTGTCTTCTCAGAAAGGTTACTGGACGATAGTGTTGAGGAATGAAAATGAGTACAAAGCTTGTGCTAGTCCTCGAGTCGGTCTCTCTCTGAAGTCTCAGCCTGAGAAGGTGGGGGTGTTTGTGGATTATGAGGAGGGTCTGGTCTCCTTTTATGATGTTGATGCTGCAGCTCTGATCTACTCCTTCACTGGCTGCTGCTTCAAAGAAAAACTCTACCCATACATTAGTCCTGGTCCTAACTATGGTGGTAAAAACTCTGCCCCTCTGATCATCTCTCCTGTCAATCACACTGAGTAGTGAACAACCATTTGATTTTAAATCAGGTTCAATATAATTTCATGTTATAAATTAATGTATTTTAGGGGATGGGCGTTGTATACACTGTGTTATCAGATTATGATTTTTTTCTGTAATTGTTTTCATTGCAACTAAAACCAATGTTACCACATATATTGAAATTATCTGATGAATTCTGAAAACTGCATTACCTGCCTTTTAAACTGTAATATCATAGAAGAAAACAATAATTGTTATCTCTTTTCTTTGGAATAAATCAAAAAAACTCCTGATTTTATTATAACGGCACCAAATAATATGATTAAGAACACCATGAGCTGTTCTCAGATGAGCTGAACATACCTCTTCACAGTTGAGATAGTTTAGTAGGAAGTGTGTGATAATGTTGTTTATAAGGTTTTGGGGTGTGTGTGAACAGCTGATTTGAACACTGTGATACATCATGAGGGACATCTGAGGATAATGTACTTTGTTTTTGTTGTTCGTTTGTTTTTGTTTTTTCATAGATCTTTTCTTTAATGTATTTTCTTTTTTGTTGGTGAAATATGTAATGTAATGCAATTAAACCCCTACTCCTATACTCAATAAAAGTATACAAAAAAGATGAAAGTCCATTGTATGCACTATTTTATTTCTATTCTGTTATTTCTTTCAATATTTGTAATTGATTCATTTGTTTTATGTTCTATATATATTCATGTTGCTCTGTTGGAGGAGCCTGGTGTCTTAAGTTTTTCATTACCATACACATGATGATAAAGTCTTTGAATTTGAATTCGTCAGAAAGTCACCTGAACACAACACAGAGGATCCTTTAGCCTACACTGTAAAAAAAAAACTCGTAAAAAAACGGTCAAAGTACTGGCAGCAGCGGCTGCCAAACAAAAACCCTTAAATTAAAGTAAAATACTTTAACTGAAATAAAGTGAATAAGCCATTAATTTACGGGAATTGTCCTTAAATATTTTACAGGAAAACACTGTAATTTTACAGATTTATCCTCTCTTTTTACAGTCAATAACCTTTAATAAAAGTACATTACTAATACTTTAACGTACAAATACTCTAATTTTACAGATTTATCCTCTCTTTTTACAGTCAATAACCTTTAATAAAAGTACATTACTAATACTTTAACGTACAAATACTCTAATTTTACAGATTTATCCTCTCTTTTTACAGTCAATAACCTTTAATAAAAGTACAGCACTAAAACTTCTACGGGCAAAAAACCCGTAAAAAAACGGTCAAATGACTGGCAGCAGCGGCTGCCAAACAAAAACCATAAAATTAAAGTAAAAATACTTTAACTCAAATAAAGTGCAAAAGCAATTAATATACAGAAATTGTCCTTAACGATTTTACAGGAGACTTTCCTCTCTTTTCAAAATCCATTGTCTTAAAATGTTACATTCAAATACCTTAAATAAAGTTCGGATGAGAAAAACTGTTTTTTACATTTTTTTTTATTAGATTTGTATGATCAAACACTAAAATAAATACAGAACCTAAAGTTCTACAGGTAGAATACTGTTATTTTACAGCTTTTTTCTAACATTTTCCAATCAAAGACATTCAATGAAAAGACATCACAAAATGTTCTGTCGGAAACAATTACTCTGAAAACTTAAAATATGAAAACTAATGAATACAGCATTTCATATTTAAACATCATACTTATAAACAGTAGAAACAAAAAGTAAGTTGAATTTTTTTAAGAGTACTTTGAAACATTCTCAACTGAAAATAACAGAAATTACAAAATGGCAACATATGTTCACATTGTCAATTTGAAGGAGCAGTGTGCAGGATTTAGTACGTCTAACAATGGGGATGTAGGTTCCAACCAATGGATAACTTGTTCACTCACCCTCCTATCCCAAGTTTGTAGAATGTATATTGGCTGCAAAAACCTTGAGGCCCAATCATGTTTCCTCTGTCCATTCTGCGCTACTGTAGACGTGGCAGTGCAACCTAGAGGACAAAAAGATCAGAATCAGAAACAGGTTTTTCACACGTATGAGGAATTTGACTAGGTGTCGTACATACACATATAAATTAAAAAAATTAAATAAAAAAAAGTACACAGATAGCGAACTATATTAAGAACACTGTAATAAAAATATAGTAAGATAGCAATAAAATAAAGCAGTAATATACATCGAAATAGAATGCAATAAATTATAGAATATAAAATATGTGCAGTAAGCAATATTTAAACATTGCATTATTTACCATCCTGTGATCTCCATTATGTAATGCATAGAGTCTGCGTTGTGGATGAGGTAAAGTGTCAGTGGGGGGGCCTTGTTGAGGTGGCGAGAGGTTTTGGTCCTGATGGAGAGAGGTTTTGGTCCTGATGGAGAGAGGTTCTGGTCCTGATGGAGAGAGGTTCTGGTCCTGATGGAGAGAGGTTCTGGTCCTGATGGAGAGAGGTTCTGGTCCTGATGGAGAGAGGTTTTGGTCCTGATGGAGAGAGGTTCTGGTCCTGATGGAGAGAGGTTCTGGTCCTGATGGAGAGAGGTTCTGGTCCTGATGGAGAGAGGTTTTGGTCCTGATGGAGAGAGGTTCTGGTCCTGATGGAGAGAGGTTTTGGTCCTGATGGAGAGAGGTTCTGGTCCTGATGGAGAGAGGTTCTGGTCCTGATGGAGAGAGGTTCTGGTCCTGATGGAGAGAGGTTTTGGTCCTGATGGAGAGAGGTTTTGGTCCTGATGGAGAGAGGTTCTGGTCCTGATGGAGAGAGGTTCTGGTCCTGATGGAGAGAGGTTCTGGTCCTGATGGAGAGGTTTTGGTCCTGATGGAGAGAGGTTTTGGTCCTGATGGAGAGAGGTTCTGGTCCTGATGGAGAGAGGTTTTGGTCCTGATGGAGCGCAGCCTCCTGCCAGAGGGGAGGGGGGTGAACAGTTTGTGTCCAGGGTGGGAGGGATCGGCCACTATCTTTCCTGCCCGCCTCAGGGTCCTGGAGGCATGCAGGTCGTGGAGGGATGGCAGATTGCAGCCTATCACCTTCTCTGCAGAGCGGATGACACGCTGCAGCCTGCCCTTATCCTTGGCTGTGGCTGCAGCGTACCAGATGGTGATGGAGGAGGTGAGGATGGACTCCATGATGGAGGTGTAGAAGTTCACCATCATCGTCTTTGGCAGGTTGAATTTCTTCAGCTGCCTCAGGAAGAACATCCTCTGCTGGGCTTTTTTGATGAGGGAGCTGCTGTTCTGCTCCCATTTGAGGTCCTGGGCGATGATGGTGCCCAGGAAGCGGAAAGACTCCACAGCAGTGACTGGGGAGTCACACAGAGTGATGGGGAGTCACACAGAGTGATGGTGAGCCACACAGAGTGATGGGGGCGGGCGGGGCTGCGTTCTTCCTAAAGTCCACAACCATCTCCACTGTCTTGAGAGCGTTGAGCTCCAGGTGGTTTTCCCCACACCAGGTCACCAGATGGTCCATCTCCCACCTGTAGGCAGACTCGTCCCCACCAGAGATGAGTCCGATGAGCGTGGTGTCGTCTGAACTTCAGGAGCTTGACAGACTGGTGACTGGAGGTGCAGCTGTTGGTGTACAGGGAGAAGAGCAGAGGGGAAAGAACGCAGCCTTGAGGGGTACCGGTGCTGATGGTCAGAGACGTGTTTCCCCAGCCTCACGTGCTGCTTCCTGTCAGACAGGAAGTCTGTGATCCACCTGCAGCTGGGAGAGCTTGTCCTGCAGCAGAGCTGGGATGATGGTGTTGAAGGCAGAGCTGAAGTCCACAAACAGGATCCTGGCGTAGGTTCCTGCTGTGTCCAGGTGCTGGAGGAGGAAGTGAAGTGATAACTATTAGTAAACCATAATGATGGATGTTATTATCAGCAGCTGCCAATAGATCCCCTAAATCTTGTATGATGGAACACACACACACACACACACACACACACACACACACACACACACACACACACACACACACACACACACACACACACACACACACACACACACACACACACACACACACACACACACACACACACACACACACACACACACACACACACACACACACACACACACACACACACACACACACACACACACACACACACACACACACACACACACACACACACACACACACACACACACACACACACACACACCCCCCCCCCCCAAGGGCATTGATTATTTCATAAGTTTAGAAGGGGGGAACATAGTCTAACTACAGTTAGCTTTTGTTAATTTTACCTCGAGCCAAACTTGTGATACTTGTTTCTGAAATCCCTTTCTCTTAAAGTGAATAAAAAACAAAAAAAACAATGGAGCTTACCCTAAAACTAACCACTGGATTGCTTGTCTAACATGACCTAGTCCATGTTAGCGAAGTACAACTGGGATTTCGAGGGGGAAGATATGCTTGGTTGATTCTAATTTTTACTTTCTTACTTTTTGAATACAAATCATGTTTGTATCACTACACTTCTAAGGGACAACATGGGTCAAACATTGCCCGTATTCTTTTGCTATGTTATTTCATGCATGGCTGAGTGTTTATTTACTATACATTTTCAAAAATAATTAATTTTAGCAGTGATTTAGACCAAGCATGTATGATGTAGTAATACAACAAGTATTTTAGTTCACACAGTGTGACATTAGCTAGTCATGTTAGCTTGTAATATATAGAGCAGAGCTAACTAGCAAGTTAGCCGAACGTTAGCAGTTAGCTGTTTATGCTAGGCTAGCTGTTGGCTGCTGAACATTAACAAACTGGATTCCGCTGTAAGAAAGCTGTGAAACTTTACATTAAACTTGGCGACAACACTGTGACACCCCGCTGCATGTTTATGTGTAATTCTCCCGTGTTGGAGACGAGAGGTGGAGCGGCAGCACTGCAATAAGCTGTAAGCTAACGTTAGCAGCCACCTTGTTAAACCAGGTTTGGGCGCAACATCTTGCAAGAAACAGCATCTCAGGGCTTCTTAACATTTAACAACCTATTAATGATGCAAACTCAGCTAACTAGAAGAAGAAACGTAACCTTAAATAAAAAATAAAACATTCACAAACTAAGGATTATCTAAATACATGTTTAACTCCATTACAGTTGCAGGACTCACCAGATCTCAAGTCTTCTGTTCTTTGTTGACGTCCCGATGCTCATATTTAACGTGTAGATGTAAAACGATCCCGATATTAATCCATTAATCCATAAACTCCTGCAGCTCCGAGCCGGAGCTGGAAAAGCGCCGGTGTGAAAGGGGCAGACAGCTGTAGCTCCGTCCGCAGGAGGAGCCCGCTCTAACTGACGTGAATGTTTCAAATGTGAACAACAGGCGCGGGCAGTTCTCATTGGCAGGTTTCTTCAATGACGTTTATATTAACCAATCAGGAGTGTTGTGGACTCATTCCAAACATGCCTGACTTGTCTGCCGTGTTATGGCTGAATTCCAATTCAAGTGCCGTAGCTCTGGCTGTCAGCCAGAATCCGAAAACCATGCACATTATACTGCATGAAAGACTAAGGCTTATTACTGTATATTGACCAATGGGGGAAAAAACACAGCAACAGAACACATAAAT